TGGGAAAAGAGTGATTTTCGATTTGTCTATGTACTCCAAAGTATTGAATTTTTTGGAATACAGTCCTTAAAAATACTGCATTGTTAATTTTTTTATTTCATTTGGATTTGTTGGGACTCCTTCTGTTTCAACACTAATTCTATATATTGCTGTGTGCTCTTTCTTTGCCTTTGTTAATGGACTCAAACTAAGAACAGTTGTAAGGGTTTTGCAAGACCTCGCAGTTTCACTCTTTGTAAGTTATGAGGGTTGCTAGCCATCAGAACCAACTGCACAACAGCTCACAACAACCAAAATATGCCCCAAGCACTCACACGAATGCTGACAAAATTGAAGAATTCTACGTAATGCAACAGTCTGAAATAAATAAACCATAGTGTCGAGATGCATAATTACTGGTGTCCTAAACACTAATTTTGAAGATGACATTAAAATGGATGATGTTGTTCAGAAATGTGACCTTCTTGTTAAAAATGAAGACTTTAGGATGAATTCAACTCCAATCAAACAAGAATCCTCAAAACTGAACCAATAGACAGACATAGAGAAGAGATTGAAGTTGCTAAGAATTTCATTTTATTTGAATCCACGATCAACACCTATGTAGACAGCAATCAAAAAATCAGATGATACCTTGGATTGGGCAAATCTGTTGCACAAGACCTCTGTAAGGCATTAGAAAGGAAAGCTATCACTTTGATGACTACTTTGTGTTTACCAGAGCCATAGTGCTTTCAGTGGCCTCACATGCATGTGGACGCTTGGCCATTGCTGAGGAAGACTGTAGAAGGACTGAGGCCTTTGAATTATGGCCTTGACAGAGAATGCTGAAACCATCATGGACAGCCAGAGGAAAAAACATCTGTCTGGTTAGAGATAAAACCATAATGTTCTTCAGAGAAGAGATATTGTCACATTGTCAGTGGAAGAAGAATAGCTTCAAATAGATGTATTGACAGTAGCTGCAACAATGGGCCTAAACATAACAAATGATGGTGCTGACGGCATCTATTCCTGCTGTGCATAGGGTTACTTTGAGTAAGAACTGAGTCAGTAACACCTAAAAATAGCACTAACATATGAAAATCGTTACTCCCAACCTAAATTAACTTGTGTTTGTCTGGATGTCTCACTACATGCAGTTGAATAGCCAACTTTACTTCCATGCCTTCAATATGTTTACCGTTTAATCCCCATTTTCTGCCTTTTTGTTCTTTTCAAATATGTCCACTGATTCTTTAATGTTATTAACTTACTTCTGAATGGCAACTGGATTTCTAATTAGGAAAACCCTGTGCAAATAATAGTGTTTTCTTTTGAGGCTGTCATCACTTGGTCTCTCTCTCTCTCTCTCTCTTTCTTTTTCTCCCTAAGACCCACCACTTTTCTGTCAGTTTGTCATAGTGTGGTGACTTCTGTGTTACTGTGGTGTTGGAAGCTACCTCAAAAACCCAGCAGTCTGAAACAAGTAGGTTTCAGCAGAGCTTCTAGACTTTAAACAGGCTATGATGAAGGAATAAGTTGTCCACTTCTGAGAAATTAGGCACGGAAACCCTCACAAATAGCAGCAAAACATTCTGAGATACAGCGTTATAACACGAGCCCCTCAGGTCAGAAGGCAGTCAAAATGTAAGGTTGATCATCAGGAAGGGGTCAGAGCAAATCCTTCTGAAACTTCATTGACAAATGAGGCAAACTCAAAATGAAACGAAACGACTCAAATGTCATTTGAATTAAAACTTGGAATGTACAAAGTACAAATCCGGGAAAATGTTAAGTCATGAAAAATGAAATGGAATGCTTAAGGACTGCTAACTTAAGCATTAGTGAGCTGAGATGGACTGGCATTGACTGTTCAATCAGTCACATGGTGTATTATGACAAGAATGAAAAAATCAGAGGGAATGACATATCAGTCATTGCTAAAAAGAAAATTTCTAGATTTATCCTGAACCACAGTGATGTCTGTGATAGAATGACAGTTATATGTGTACAAGGAAATCCAGTCAATAAAACAAGTATTCAAACTTATGTGTGAACCACTAACGCTAGTGCAGCAGAAATAGAAGAGCTTTATAAATGTCTTTTATAACCACTAACGCTAATGAGCAGCAGCAATAGAGAGCTTTATAAATGTCTTCAGCCTGAAATTAGTCAAACATGCATTGATAATTATTGATGTTAGAATGCCAATGTTGGAAACAAAGAAGGATCTGCAGTTGAAAATTATGGCCGTGTTGATAGAAACCAAGCTAGAGATCACAAGACAGAACTTTTCAAGGTCAATAATTTCTTCATAGCAAATGCTTTCTTTCAACAACAAAGCGTAACTGCACACATGGACTCCTCCAGATGGAAGACACAGAAATCAAATTGACTATATCTGTGGGAAGACACAGTGGGGCAGCTCAGTATGAGCCGAGACAACAAGCTCATGGGCTGACTGTGGAACAGACCAACAATTACTCATATATAAGTTCGGAGTGAAGCCGGAGACAATAAACACAAGTCTCTACAATAACCAAAGTATGGCCTTGAGTTGATCCCACCCAGAATTTGAGAACACTCCAGTTTGGAGACACAGTGAATAGTAATCACAGGTGAGCTGATGAGCTGTGGGACAACATCCACTTCCTACACTAAGAAAGCCAAAGGTCATTAAAAGCACAGGAATAGCCTTCCCGGTTGCAGCGCGGAGCGGTGAGAAGCTCTTGCCCAGGCCGCCCAAGGGTCCCCTGCAGGCCGTGCATGTCTTCGGACGGACGCACAGCAAAGGGGAAATGGCATCGTCAAGGTGAACGGGCGGCACCTGGAGGGGATGGAGCCACATACGTTGCAATACAAGCTTCTGGAACCCGTTCTGCTGCTGGGGAATGAGCAGTTTGCTGCTGTGGACGTCCGGGTGGTGGCCACGTGGCCCACATTGATCGATCCGCCAGTCCATCTCCAAAGCCTTGGTTACGTATCACCAGAAACTCGTGCACGAGGCTTCTAAGAAGGAAATCAAAGACATTCTCATCCAGCATGACCGGACCCTGCTCACAGCTGACCCCCCGCGCTGAGAGTCCCAGAAGATCGGTGGCCCCGGTGCCCAGAAATCCTACCGATGATCCCACCTCCAGGAAAGGGCTCTACCTTTATAATAAACAGGAGTTCTGAGAGAAAAACAAAACGAAACAGGAATAGAAGAAAATATCAAAGTGGATGTCAGAAAAGGACTCTCAAACTTGCTCTACATCTTGGAGCAGCTAGGTCTTTGCACATTTCATCATCAAACGTCCTCCTTCACTGCCCTTTGAAATGCTCTGTTCGGCTCTACCCTATTACCTCTTCACAGGGGTGAAATGAAATGTGCAAAGGTCTTGAGTGAGGAAACTGAAACAGAAGTACATGCTTGGCATATCTTAAACGGAAAGAAGTGGAGAAAAAATTCAACCCTTGAGTTGTAATAATGAAAGATTCTATGGGCAAAATATTGAACAGCACAGGAAATATTCAGGGAAGGTCAAAAACATACACAGCAAATACCGAAAATGAACTCTGTGGAGAAGATGGAATACAGGCTGGAACCAAACTTAGTAAAAATCAATCAGCTCCATGCCCAAATGACTTTGCCTGCTGTGCGAGGAGAACTTGGAGCGCTTGATCATGTGCGGGATAACAGCCTTCATTATGGATCGCAAGTCAATGCAAAGAAAGCAAAATGTCCTAACAAGTAGAAAACCAACATCTTCATTGAAAGCCAGGATGTCACTTGAGGATTCAAATGCTCCCAATCCAAGCCAGGCTATTTGTAATTGCTTGATAAGCAAGTGCCAGTTGTGCAAGGAATAAGGAAGAGAGCATAAACAAGGACGCGTTTGAATTAGGGTGTTGGTGATATTGATAGTACCGTGGACAACCAGAACAACAACACGTCTGTCTTAAGAGAAGTGTACCTCACATATTCATTAGATGCCAGGGCGGGGAGACTTCATTTCACACACTAGGCCCGGTCATTAGGCAAGACCAGTCCCTAAGGAATAACATCATGTTGGTAAAGCAGAGTGGCATGAATAAACGAGGAAACCCTCAATGAAATGGATTCTCACACTGGCTGCAACAATGTGATCACATGTAACAGTAAAGGTGAGGCTGACCCAAGATTGGACAGTGTAGACAGTTCAGTTGTACATTAGGTTGCTATGACTCAGAAACAATTTGATGGCACCTAACAAGAAAAACAGTGAACACACACATATATGTTGCACTTGATCTTAGCCAAAAGAGCAAGAAGTGATAACATAATATTTTGAAAGCATAATAGTTATACATATGTATATGATTATAAGGTTAGGAAACATTTATCATATGAAAAATGAGTCGTATAAAAAGAGGCATCTATAGAATCAGAAATATTTTCCTTGAAAAAAATAGAAGGGGGAACCTTCTTTCGTGAAACTTCATATAGTGGGGACTAACAAAAAATAGTCATCTTGAATCATGATTCATAGAAAAACAGTCAAGTAATCCTCTCATTAAGACAGATCAGCTATTTGCAATGTAAGAAAAGTCAAATAATTATAAAATGAACGAAGTGTAAGACTGCTCCTAAAATATCTACTAGTAGAAATTAACAGAAACATGAAAGAAAAACATTAAATATGAGTAAAATGCTTACAACAAATCAAGCATAGAGCAGAGGAGGAAAGTTGTACATAATGTACTCACTCTCAATTCAATTTTATTGAAAAGCATTTATAAAAATGAAATAATCTCAAGTAAAAATGAAAAGGAGCATAAGAGATATAAGTGCACAGAGGAAAAGCAAAGGTTGAAATAAAAAGGTACCAGACTCAGTATGGAATAAATAAGCAAATTATCCTATTAAAAATGATCAAATTAAGATGTCCCAAACTTGCAGGTGTACAGTCGATGCCGACTCATCGTGACCCGATAGGGTAGAGCAGAAGAATCCCTGTGAGTTTCTGAGACTGACTCCTTATATAAGCCCCATCGAAATGTGCAAGCCTCCTTTTCTGCCCCGCCGTCTGCGGTGGGGCTGCCGCCAGGATGCACCTCTTCGTGAAGACCACCCTCTCGAGGTCGAACCCTCGGACATGATAGAGAACGTGAAGGCCAAGATCCAGGACCAGGAGGGAATTCCTCCTGCTCTACAGCGGCTGATCTCTGCTGGCGAGCAGCTGGAAGGTAGACACACCTTGTCTGACCACAGCACTCAGAAGGCGTCCACTCTTCAGCGTGTGCTCAGACTTTGTGGCGGTGCGAAGAAAAGGAAGAAGTCTTACCCCACTGCCAAGAAGAACAAGCATAAGAGAAGGAAAGTGAAGCTGGCCGTCTTAAAATGCTGTAAGGTGGATGAAAGTGCCAAAATCAGCCGCCTTCGGCCCGAGTGCCCTTCGGACGCGTGTGGGGCCAGGGTTCTCATGGCCAGCCACTGTGCGGTCTGACCTACTGCTTCAGCTGTACTGGTTAACAAAGGCCATGAACATTGCTTAAAAATGTGCTAAGTATCATTGAACATCAATTTTGTTGAAACATACCTAAAGTGAAGATTGAACGGTATGGTGTTTGTTTAATGACGACGATATTGAAAGCTCAATAGATCATTTTGTTGTTGTTGTTGAGGGTACATATAAAAGAGCATGTACCAAGGGGCAATGTCTACCTCCACAATCCAGTGACACCAATAGTACTCTTTACATGTTAGAACCCTTCTCATCATTTTTCCTCAAAAGGTTTCTCTTCCAAGGATATAAAACCATTGTGCCCCACTGTTACGTGCCACTGAGGCAGTTCCAACTCACAGCAACACGATGGCCAACAAAGCCAAACAGTGCCTAGTCTTGTGCCATCCTGGGCATCGTTCTGACGCTGGAACACATTGTTACAGCCACTGTTGTCAATTCACCTTGCGAGGCCCTTTTCTTTGTCAATGCCCCTCTAAGCATGCTATCCTTGTCCAGGGACTGCTCTCTGATGCACAAAGTACACGAGCAGTCTAAGGAGCGGTTTAACTGTACTTCTTCCAAGACACACATGTTTGTTTTTGGCAGTTTATGATACTTTCAATATTCCTCCCCAGCACCCTAATTCAAAGCATTGATTCTTCTTTGGCCTTCCTTTCCGTTCATATCCAGTGACTGAAAATACCATGGCTTGGGTAAAGCACGCCTTAGTCCTCAAGTAACTTTTAAACACTTACAGAGGTCTTGTGCAGTAAACTTACCCAAAACAGTGCATCCTTTGATCTTTTGACTGCTGCCTCCGTGAGCACTGATTGTGGATCCAAACACGATGGAATATTTGATGCTACCCACTGGTCCAGTGGTGAGGATTTTGAACTTCTTAACACAGTGAAGGCTGCAACCCTTGATCTTTATCAGCAAGTGCTGCAAGTACCCTCACTTTCAGCAAGGAAGGTTGTGTCATATGCCTATCGCAGGTTGTTAAAAAACTTTTCCCCAAGCTTGATGCCACATTTACTCCACGTAACACAGCTTCTTTGATGATTTGCTCAACCTGCATATTGAATAAATCTGGTAAAAAGATAAAACTCCGATGTCCATCTTTTCCATCAATTCCTGGAGCTCTGGTTTTGGCTAATGTGTACAGCACACCTTGAACATCTTCCTTCAGTATCATTGGCTCTTGCTGGTAGGCTAACCCTGGAAATGGTTGAATGTAGACTAGTTCTTTTGGGTACAGTGACTGTATTCTTTCCATTTTCTTTTGATGCTTCCTATATCGTTCAATATTTTGCCTATAGAGTTCCATTTTGTAAAGTAGAGATGAATAATATTATTCAGATCTATTTTCTCTGGGAAAACTTTCACAAAATAATAGTTCCTTTTTTTCCTAAAAACAAGGTTCTTAATGTGCAGAGACTGGTTAGATGTCTGAATAATATTTAGAGTCAATATTTTGAATCCTAATGGACTGTCCTTAGCCTTTAAAAGTTGTTCAGGAAATATTTTGTCCCACCTAATCTAGTTAGACCCATTCACTCGAGATTGTTAAATTAATATAGGAAGATATTTGCTATTTAGTTTACTCCTTAGAAAATACCAAAAATATCAAAAGAATTGTACTGTATCTTTTCATGTAAATATATCAATGGCATATGTGGAAAATATAATTGGGGATGAATCTTGAGACTATTTGACAAGGTCTAATTTGTGGGTACGAGAGCCAATACAGGAAACTCTGGATACTTAACTGAAATTCACTGCATGGAGTGAATTTTTACTTATTATTGATCCTTTAGGAAAGATAAAACTGCCTTTGTGGGTTTCCAAGACTGTAATTACTTATGGGTGTAACTCATATTTCTCCTATAGTGCATATGGTGGTTTCACACTTCTGACCTTTTAGCTAGCATCCAGACCCATAGCTCATTATGCCCCTAAGGCTCCTGGATACTTCGGTAATTTTAATAATCACTTTGTTATTCAGCTGAGTTAGTTTATTGTGCCAACCTGGCTGATAAACTTATGTGGGGTTAATTGAAGGGCGGAGGGATAAATGGCTCAGTGAGCCTCGCCTTTCTAGTTCTCAGGTCTCTTGCTTTCTGATGGTCACACCAGGGTGCAGCTGCCTTAGCCAGTTCACTGCTTCAGCTTGCAAGACTGACTTCCTGCAAGACATCCCCAAGGAGAAGCCATATGGACCTACTCCAATGCAGCCATAGGTGCTGGAGCAGCCATGTGGAGACCCCTGCCAGTGCTGAGATGCTTACACTTTTACTGATTCGGCTTTCCCCCTGCAGTTGGCATCATAGTGGGTGTTTTATGAGATGGAGGAGGACTTTGTGGTTTGGTGTTGGACATATGGGTTAATGTTGAACTTGTGGGCTTAGGCAGCACTGGTTTGGGATGTTTTCTTGACGTGCACTTGCCCTTTTATAAAACTCTCTCTTATACATGAGTTTCTGTAGATTTGTTTCTATAAAGTAGCCAAACTAACACATCAACTATGTATTAATTGGACTTGACAATGTTAAAACTGAAGTTAATTCATTTACATTATGTGACGGAATTAAATAATTGAATAACTAGAAGAGCTGTCACATATGAATCCTATTCAGTCATGGTTTACCATATTTCCTGAGCAACTGTATAGGATTTGTGAGGATCACTGATGAGGTAAATACTCATATCATTCAACACATTACTGGTGGCTATTATGTGTAATGTGAAGAATCAGGTCATAGATTTGCCATTGAAAAATATTTCCTCATCACACTGAACATTAGATTCCCAATTGGCAAAGGCCATGCAGTGGCAGTTAGCTGCTGGAGGCATTGCATAGGGGATACACATAGCACTAAAAAGAGTCTGACCTCAGAAACTTCTAGTGCATCAATTTGGGTCTTCATAGGAAACTTACTGCTAGGTGGATAAACTGAGCAGACTGTGGATTTGAGCCTAAGAGAACTGACATTTCAGTAAAGCATTAAGGATGATCACTATTTCACCAGAGGTGAACCATAACTATGAGTGCTCTTTGAAAGAAGTGTGTGTGGGGAGTTCTCGGACGGAATGCCTTGGGTCAGTTCCTGTTCATAACCGCCCTACATAGATCTTCGAGGCTGTAAATATTCGTGAGAGCTGATAGCCTCACCTTTCTTTCAAGGAGCAGTGGACAGGTTTAAACTGCCCATCCTTTTGAGAGAAATTGAGCCTGTATATTCTTGAGGAAGGCATAGCTATCATGTAAAAGCTCTGGTACATTAACAAATGAATTCTAGGAATCCGTCTACCTTTTGGTCAATACAGTGGGAGCACAAATGTATGCAATGGTTCATCTTAAAATTCTGAGTATGCAGTTGAACTAGATTTTACAGTCTGCAGAATCCACTCAGTGGTTTCCTGATCCTTAGAATAAAATTTCCTATAAAGAGACTGATATACTTAAAAACTCTTTTCCATACTGAAAGAGTATGAAAAATAATGTACTATCAGGGGGAAATGATGGTATTAGAACCACTTCAAAGATTTAAGAACTTTTTACTGTAAGAGTTAGAATCTTAGAAACTCACAGAGGCAGTTCTACCCTGTCCTATTGGGTCACTATAAGTCAATATCGACTTAATGGCATTGTGTTTGGTTTGGGTTTTATTTAACTCTGAAAGCATAATGGGTTATGCATTGGGCTGCTAATCACAAGGTCAGCAGTTGGAAACCACCAGCCACTCTGAGGGAGAAAGATGAAGCTATCAACTCTTGTAAACAGTTCCACTGTGGGAAACCTACCCTGTCCTGTAGGGTCCTATGAGTCAAACTGACTCAATGGCAGTGAGTGTGTGAGTGATTTGACTCTGACAAAGACTGATGCACCCTAAAAAATAATGCTAATTATCATATTTCAAACTTAAAATCCTGTCAAATGTGGTAACTTTATTGACACATAACGCATATAGTCTCCCTTTGGATAGGCAGTTATCAGTCTGCAATCCCTGAACATCAAACAAAAGAAGCAGCATGATGTCCTTCTGGCAAGGACAGCAATACATTCACTCTATCTTGCCTTGAGATTGTATCCCTCTTGAGTTGCTGGTTTTCATCACCTCAAGGATGTCACACAGTTTCACTACATAGCAAACGGATCCGAGTACAGCTGGAGACAGCTAGTAACACACGAGGGGTAACCCCCCAAAAAACCATTTCCCCCCAAAGCTATGTGTTTACTTTTTTTTTTTTAACAAAACAACTTTGTCACCTTCAAAGCACTCTCCATGACACTTAATATATTTGTCAAATCTGTGATTCCATTCCTGGAAACATTTTTCACACTCATCTGTTTGCATGGCTACTCCCTCATTTTTTTCTTCACCTCTACTATGTCATTATATCGCTGTCCTTTTATGTCTCCCTTCATTCGTGGAACCAAAAAGAAGTCACACAGATTGAGGTTAAGTGAGTAAGGTCCATGGGGCAAGAGAGGTGTGCTGTTTTGTGCCCAAAACTGGTGCACTGAGATGGTTGCATGAGCAGGTGCATTGTCATGGTGCCAAAACCAGTCCCATCTGCCACAAATCAGGTCTTTTTGTCATATACCATGACACTATCTTTTCAGAACCTCTAAATAAAGAGCTTGATGAACAATCTGACCAGGTGGATTGAACTCCAAATACACTATGAGTCAACATTTTCATATGGCCAGGAAGTTGATGGACCTCCAGAATGAGGTTTGTCATCAATCGACATTTCACTTTTAAATGAGAAAACCACATAAACACTTGAGTTTTTCCCATAGGGCTGTCCTTGTAAGCTGTGTTCAACATCACTGTGAATAGAACGACCCTTTCCAGGTGATGCCAGGGAGTGAACTAACTCAGAGCATGTTGCTGGATGCTCGCCTAGTGGTAAAAGAAGTACAATGAAAGCTAGGCCCCACAGAGAGTTTTCTGTATTTGGGGGGAATAAGTTCTAAAGGATCACATTAATTA